AAGCTTGCTTTCTTTTGTGGCTTTTCCTTTTTTCCTCCAAAATTGTTCTATCACATTGACACTTTCTAAAACTCTGGCAGAGGAAAATAAATTGTATTTCTAAGTTTTCTCATCTAGCTAGGACATGCTAACAGAAGAACTTTATGTTGGCTTGATTTTAATAGTTCATCGATACCTTTAACAAAAAATATCCTAGTGCAGACAAAACTTTGAGCAGTCTGGATAACTTTGAGAGCAAGTTCTAACACTGTGAAAATTTATAATTTTCATCTGGTTGCATTTGGCGCCGTACTTCTGGCTGTGTGTCTAACATAGTTTTGCTGTTAGGGTCCTGTAAGCAATTGTCATCCTTTGTTCCAGAAACGGCTGACTTTCAGCAGCTGTTGAATTGGTTCCTAGATGGCATGTCATTTGTGGATCAGTTTGCAAAATGCATCTTCCAATTACACTTTCTTCTTGAATGTAGACACTAGAAACTTGATGACTTATGCAAAGCATTTGTAGTTTAATTCCCAATCCAAGGGGGGAAACGTGATTTCAGAACCATCCTTTGCAGAAGGTGTCTAGGATGAATTTTAAAATCATATTATTTTGAGATTGGTCTGTGACTGACATTCACAGTGTAGGGCTTCTAAGCAATTTCACTAATTAATTTCCTCCCAAAATCATAAGTGATGCACTGATCAACGAACAGCAAGAATACACACTACGCTGTGAAAGTGCTGTCTAGCTGGACTTTGAAATCAACACGTTCGTTACTTGCTAATTGGAGTTTCCCATCATAATCATGTGAAATAGCTAATGCATTGCCAAATGAGTTGCTGAGTGATGCTGGGTGAAATCTAAAATGTGGACTTCATGTTTTTGAAACTACAAGTTGCCAGGATGAACCTGCCACAGAGACCACCTCTTGCTATGCCCCACAGTGCAGGTACTTGAGGTGAGCTCTACTTGTGCAGATGAGAAGCAGCGGCCGGAAGGGCGCAGTTTGAGAGGGATTCACCACTGCAGGGTTTGCTTCCTCCATCAGCTCAAATAGCACTGTTCAGGGACACATATTCCTCAAGCACTGCAGAACTCGCCCTTTCTTCTGCACATCGGGAAATGAGACAGCAGGGTGGAGAGGGGAGGGATGAACAGCAGTGTGAGATGTTTGGACTACACAGAAGCACTGAGCATGTAAGCTGCTGGATTTGGTAGTGGGGACCAGCTGATCATGAAAATCTATGGTTATGGTTATGCTTAGAAAGCTTTGCTCTTCTGAGATGCTGAGTAGTATTCAGAAGAGTGAAGTAGGGAAGGGGAAAAACGACCCAAAATGTTTGCAGTAAGACAGAGCATGAAACCTCTGTAACGTCCATAGTAACATGCAATCCCATACAAAACCAACCCAAATACAAAACCTTGACTTCTTGCCTGGAAAACAGAGGAAATGCAGAATATTTATTAAAACCTGAGATGAAGACTTCTTATAAAAAGTGTTAATTGGAACATCCATTTCCTGGTGTTTCACCACCGCTGTCCTTTCTAGGGCAGTCACTCCCAGCCCTATGGACTGTCTCAGCAAGCTGCACTAGACTTTGAATGCTGTAAACTTTCCAAGTAACTTGGATCTTTTTTTCTGGTTCCTCGCATAACTAGGTGTTTCATTTACATATGCTTGGCCTGAAAGACATTTATGGTTCCTCTGAAGGTCAATTCAGATAGATTTAGATGCCAGCGTTCTGCCTGTAGACTTACTATGGATCCAGGAAAATGCTCCTTAACATTAAAAAGACTTCCTCTTTGCCTTTCTGGGATGTTAAAATGCTATGACTTTTATGATACCTTGCAGAAATTCTAAGTAATGTATTTGTCTGCCATGAGTGGTTTGTATTGAGGAAGAAAAACCTGCCTGGAGAGCTCTCAGTATTCTGCCTCAAGGTCAGTGTGAGGCTTTTTTCCAGAGTCCTTGTTTATCTCCCTTCTAGCACTCCTACCATTTTACCTGCTTAAGATATCCTCAGAAATAGTAACACTTAGCAGAGGCTGGAAAGATGTGTTTTGGGCTTAAAAAAAAGGAAATTGCCTGCCAGGCAATGACATGGTCCTTCTTCAGAATGTATCCTGTACGCCTCGCTCTTGCCAAGATCGTTTAAATGTGGTAGCAGCTACAGTAGGAAACTTGCCACGCTTATAAATAAACAAAACATCTACACCACCCTACTGAGCTTGCTGAGCATTCAGGAGCTCGGTCAAGAGTGAGTTTTGTGTCAACACCGGCAGCCAGCAGGATTTCCGAGGCAGAAAAGCACCTTTATTTCCCTTTGGAAGCATCGGCTAGTTTTGAACATTTTGTCTCTGGAATAAGGTTACCGCTTCTCAGTGAAAACTTCTGTAGGAGCAATGACAGTAAATCTTGCTTTTCACTTGGAAACCACTGTGAAAACATGATCTTCTGAAATCTTTTGCTGAGAAATTAGTTTGGGATATTTTTCTTGGGTTGTTGGGTTGGGTTTTTTTTCTCCGTAGTAGGTTTGTTGACTTGTTTCAAGCATTGAAGATTTATTGTTGTCTGAAGTGTTTTCAGTCTTTTGTTTTGTTTTGTTTTCTACACTTTAATTAAGTGTTTTTGCCCAGCCTGGTTATGTACTGAGGTCCTGGGGGAGCAGCTCTGTGCTGCTCTGTGTCAGCTGGAACCTGGTTAGGAAGCTGACGCAAAAGTTCATTTTTCAGTCTCATAAGACCCCACGGAAACTGTTGCTGATTCACCTACACATCAAAGTGACAGTCAGCCCTGTATTTCTGAATATTTCCTGGGGTTAAAAATCTGCAAAAACACATCAAATCTGAGTTGCCAGTTTTATATTCATGCCACTTTGAACATAAAGTTAGGGTCATTCATTGAATTTTTTACTTGGAGCGTATCAAAAGTGTCATGCTGTCATCTCTAGGAATCAGCAAAGCTGAGACCAGGACTCTCGCAGAAAGGATACGAAGTCATTAATTCATGTTTTCATTACATCTCAGCTGGATTTTTGTAATTCCTTTTATAGGCCGTAGAGTCTGTGTATGGGTAGCATCGCTATCAAGGAGCTTAAACACGTACTTGGTCGCCTCGTCTTCACACAAGACAGCAGCATGGCACCGTTTTCACTTACTCTCCGTCCTTAAGGGGCTGCCAACAGAAGTCTCAGGGTCAAGGCACTGACTAATAATAGTAAAAGGTTGTCTTCCCTAGGAAATACTGTCACGTCAATAAGGGAGATGAAGAAGCTAGAACATCGAACATGATGCAATTGTTTGTAGGCAGAGGCTAAGCCTGACCACGACTGGTGGGGTGAGAGGAGGGATTTCTCTTTGGCTAGCCAAACCACACAACCATAATGCTATTATCATCACCTGAGATCACTTAGATTCTAATGCAAATTCAGCTATGCTTTGTAGCAGTGGTGGAGATCAGTTGATGCCAATACAGGGTTTCCAACATCTTTCTTCCTGGGAAACACTTTCTCTCAAAGTAGTAGAAATGTAGAAATGTAGCTGAAACGTAGCTGTAGAAAAGTAGTAGAAACGTAGCTGAAAGGTCACTAGCTGCTTGCCACAAAGCTAACTGGAGCCTCAAAAGCAAAGTATCCCAACAGCAACAGGCCTTACATTTGAAAGACAGAACCAGAAAGATTCACTGCAAGAAGGTGACTCACTTTGCTTTTATGAGACTGGTGTAATTGATTTGTTTCTGCAAACACAGCAGCATTTTATAGAAGGGTTTGCACTAGTTCTGCAGAAAGCTCCTGACAAGGCAGTCCGAAACACATCTTTATGTGAGGAACTCAGTCCTGAGCTGAATTGAACGGAAAAGACTAAACGTAAGTTTAAAGAAAGGATTTCAATTGCTTGGATTTGTGACTCTGAAATACA